AAGTGGATGGCAGTTGTTGTTACAAGTGGATGGTCGTTGTTACAAGTGGATGGCAGTTGTTACAAGTGGATGGTTAGTTGTGCTGATGTGGCCTCCTCTTGTAAAACTGATTAWCTGCCTTCTGTTCCTCTTGTAAAACTGATTAACTGCCTTCTGTTGGTCTGTTCCAGCAGTCTTGACACACCCACTTTAAAACTTACCGAGCCTCTGAAGTCCTGATTAAAGTTCATTATGCCCTTCCATACACTCACCCCATAGGAATTTGATACCTCCCTTGGTTCCCACCCAAATCTCACCACCCCATACTTCCCTACCACCACCCTTCTCCACAAAGACTCCCTTTCTTTTTCTAGCCCGAACCGCCATAACAATTTCCCCATGAGGGCTTTGTTAAAAGTCCTTATTCTTCTGAACCCCAATTCCCCTAATGCTTTCGGTCTACACACCTTCTCCCACTTAACTAGATGAAATTTCCTAGGTCCCTTTGCCCCTTCCCATAGAAAATCCCTTGAATGTTTTCGATCTTGTTGGCAACCGAAGTTGGAATTTTAGCAGTGATATATGGTAAGTGGGCAGACTTGATAGCACACTTTTAATGAGGGTGGTTCTGCCCCCTAAGGAGAGGTATCTTGCTTTCCACCTCTCCAACCTCACCTCCACCCTCTCTATAAGAGGTTTCCATGTACTGGCTGACCCATATTTGGCCCCAACTGGGAGGCCTAAGTAGAAGAAAGGGAGCTCCCCTACCCTACAATCAAGAATTGTTGCAAATAAGGATATCTCTTCCTGACTGATCTCTCCGATTCCATAAAGAGTACTCTTTTCCAAATTCACCTTTATGCCTCATAGCAACTCAAAATTGGCCAGAACTGCTCTTAAATTCAGAACTTGGTCCTCCTCTGCATTAAAGGAAAATGAGGGTATTGTTACGAATTGTAAATGGGAAATGCTTGGCCCCTCTGACCCAACATTGAAACCTTCTAGCCCCCTTTTTATCAGCAGATTTAGAATTTCCATCACCAGCACAAACAGAAAAGGGGAGAGAGGGTCCCCTTGTCTCAGCCCCCTAGAAGGATGAAAGAACTCCAAGGATACCCCATTAAGTATCACTGAGAGTGATACAGAAGAGATGCACCCAAATATCCAACTCCATTTCTCTCTAAATCCCATCAGCCTCTGAATTTCTTCCAAGAATCCCCACTCCACATGATCGTAAGCCTTTTCTATGTCTAATTTGCACACTAGACCAGGCCTTCTACTTCTCAGCCTTGAGTCTATGCACTCACTTGCCACCATCACCCCATCTAGAATTTGTCTTCCCTCCACAAAGGCCATTTGAGTTTCCCCTACTACTTCATGAAGCACTTTTCTCAGCCCATTTGATAACACTTTAGCCAAGAGTTTATAAGGGCTGCAAATTAAGCAGATTGGTCTAAAGTCCTTTATGTTCACAGACTCGGCTTTCTTCTGTATTAGTGTAATGAAGGTTACTGTAGAGAACATTGATGTGGGCCCCACTCTGTCCGTAGGGTAGAATGTATCTAGTCACAGCTGTSGTTATTTYRCTATTCTGTTA